GAGAGCCAGGGCCGCCGAGCCGCCCCCAGCACCGATGCGCCGGGTGGGGCGCTGGCCCCGGAGGGCGTGAGCCACCCGCAGATTGAGCAACTTGGGGACGGGCGGGCGAGCCGGGAGCCCGGGACAGTCTGCGGTGGGCGGGCGGGAGAGCGGGCCGCGCCCTCGCCCTCCCCGGCCTGCCCCGCCGCGGCTGGCAGCGCGGAGGTGAGTTCCCCACAGTCGCCCTCCCGGCGCCCCCTTCCCCGGGACCCGGGACGCCGCGGGCCCTCCCGTCGGGGTTGAGCCGAGCTGGGTTGGGGGGAGCCAGAGAAAGAGAGGAAGGGGAGTCCGCTGCTCTCCGGTCATCGAGCGGAAGGCGACACTTCCTGGACCCCCTCTTACAAGTCTTGCCGCCCAGTCTCTACTGCCTCGGGGGCCACTCAATCCCCCAAACTCCTTAGTCTCCCGGGTCCACCAGTCCCATTTTACGCCCTCTCCAACCCAGAGGCTATGATCCCTGGACTGATCACCTCGGAATCCCCCAAGTCCCATGATCTCGGGTGACCCTCAGCCCGGGTCCGACGTGGCAGGCAGCGTGCGCTGCGGCCCTGGGTACACAGCGAGGTGGCGTGTGGCCCGAGGGGTCGGACGCCGGGAATGGATGGTACAGCTTGGTCCGGGAGAGGTGGGGCTGAGTGTACCCGGGGCTCTGGAGCGCAAGGATGCATTCTGGGGGCGGGCGCTTGGGGGCAGGGGTTTCTTGTGAAAGTGACCACTGTAACTGAGAGAGGTCTCTTGACTGGGGGGGGGGGGGTAGCCAGCGGGACTCCAGGTTCGTCTCTCCCTGGGCACCTGTCGGGGCCCCCAGGGAGAGTGGGGAGGGAAGATGAATGTGAGCCCTTGGGGTGGTGATGGAGGGGTGTGAAGGAGACTTTCTCAGCTGCCCTTGTTTTTTTTGTGTGTGGGGGGTGGAGGATGGGGAGGCAGCACCTGGCTTGACTCTGGGGGACAAGCTAATCCCGACAGGAGGTCCCGTAGACACTTACTTGGTCCCGCCCCCGCCCAACAATTCTTCTGTCCCCACCCGCCCGCTCCCTTGGCCAAAACTGTCCAGCCCTTAGCCTGAGAAGGGCTAATGAGAAATTATCTGGATGGTTTACATTTTGGGGTCAGTATCCGGGCCCCTGACGGAGCACCAATTCATCCTGAGAGTGTTGCAGGAGAGAAGGTGAAATTATTCCCGCCCTCAGCTCCTCCTCCAGCGGCGCCCCCTCCCCAACCTGGGTTCTCCCGTTCCTACCCCTGGTGGCCTCTTTCTGTGGTCTGCCGCCAGCCTTCAGCAGGTTCTCCACCTGCGCAGGCCCATTCCTCCAAGCTGGGGGGGGCCTACACTCCTCAGCTCCCTGCACTTTGTACACCCTCTCCACACCCAGTCCTGGGTAACAGACTAGGTCTAAAACCACCCAGACCTGTAACCTCTCAGGGCCAGTTTCCTCCCTCCCCAAAATGGGCTAATTCTACCTTCCTCCAACACATGGAAGGTAGGAGGAGGCACCCAGTAGACAAGAATCCTTCACCCCCACCGATGTCTGGGGCCTTGAACCCTGCCAGCAGTTTCCATCTGAGTAAAGTAAGGAGCCCACCACAGTGAACTGTCTGTGCCATGCAGCCAAGGCCCAAAGGAAATCAGACAGGTAGAAATAAGGTCAGGCTACTTAAAAGAAAGCTGTCTGCTCCTAGTTCCTGTCCCTGGCCCAGTTCATGTCCTCCATGTTCCAGTGTGACTGTGGAACCAGACTCTAGCTGAGGGATGAGGAGCGTTTGAGGCAGGGACCTGTGGCTCTCAGGAGCTTTGTATTCAGGGTTCCTATAGACCTGTAATGTTTCAAATCAAATTTCACATAAGATCCTTAGTTTTCAACCTCTCGTTAAAAATATCAGAAGATCTGACAATATTAAGCCTTGATTTATGCCCATCAAAATCAACTGGAACTGAATAGCAGGTGCTCCTCTAAATGGGCATTTGCCTTCTGGTATGCCTATAACACAGCCAGGCTTGCTTCACACACACACACACACACACACACACACACACACACACACACACACACACACCTGTGGATGAAGTCTTAGCTCCTTTACAAGGTTGATTCCGAATACGCAGAGGTGCACATATGTGGCTTATGTGGCTGGAGCCAGCAGAGATGTCCCCAGCAGATGCACTGTGTGTGTGTGTTTGTTTCAAGAAGTGCTTCTCCTCATCCCAGAGCTGAGGGAAGCCAGCGTTGCCTGCTCCAACAAAATTCCCATCTGATCCTCCTTGTTTCCTAGCTGACTAGTGGTTCAGGTGTGGTGGGCTAGAAGCTTGTTGCAGGCAGGGCCTGTGTTGAGTATGGCCAGGGCCGGGCTGAAGGATGGAACCCGGGAGGACTGAGGGGTCCGGGAGGCAGGGAGAGTGTGGGAGCTGAGTATTGATCCTTGATGAGCCAGGCATCTTGCGGGCAGGCACAAAAAGCTCAGATATGCCTAAGAGACCTTTTCCTCCCTGGAGACCCCAGGGAAACGGACCGCACAGTGAGCAAAGTCTGGCAGACCCAGGTTTAGCACCAAGTTCATCTGATGCAGTGTTTACAAATATGAGGACTGACGGAGTAGGTCTGCTGGGGTCCTCACACCACCATCCAATAAATGCTACAGTTAGAGGTAAACCCTAAAGTGGAGTAGTCACTTTGGGACCCAGGCAGTTGACCATAAAGATAAATGCAAGGTTGGCAGAGTGACTCAGGTGGTAGAGGGCCTGCCTAGCAAGCATGAAACCCTGAGTTCAAATCCCAGTGCTACCAAAAAATAAAAGATAAACCCAAGTATGGAAATTACATGCCAGTTTTTAGTATTAAGGCTGTATCCAGAAGACACCAAATATGGTTAGGTTTTTTTTAAACCAAATATGTTTATATTGCTTAAAATGACCATAGGCGTATAGGTCAGAATGAGAACTACAACTGATATTGAGACCTCTCTATACGCAGGCACCATTTGAAGTAGTTTCCTGTATTAACTCACGTAAGCAATAAAGAAGCAACCCTCTTGCAGATCAGGAAATGGGCTCAGACCAGCTAAGCAACTAAGGATAGGTAACACAGCTACTAAGTAACAGAGCCAGAGCTCAAAGGCAGGCAGTCTGACTCTGAAGTTTATTCCCTAATCATCAGGCTCTCTTACCCAGCCTCTGAGGCTGCGTGCATGGGGCTGAAGACCCCAGTTGGTAAACTTGGCTGGACACCCACAGACTGTGGGTGATGGGAGTACGTAGGGGGGCTAGAGAGGGTGGGAAGACTTTGGCAGGTCACGCAGGGAGTGCTGGAGTGAGGGGCCTGTAGGGGTTGGCAGCTGACAGGGCACTGGAGGCGGCTGGGGGCATCTCTGCTGGCTCTGGCCACAGCACCAGGTGGGATCCATCAGCCTCATGTAAACACTTCTCACAGGCAGCTTAACCACTTGAGTGTGTCTGGCCTTCAAAGCCAGTGGGAGAGGCTTCGGAGGGAGGCACCGAACTCCCTCCAGGATAATGATTTATCTCCTGTGCAGGTGGGCTCCACTGGGGCCTCACTGAGAGGAAGGGGGTGCACTGGGCAATGAGGAGCTGTGAGGGGAAAGGATTCAGATGAGGGGAAGGCTGGGGTAGAGGGAATCTACACTAGCATCTCAGAGTTCTCATTAGTAAGCCCAGTTACCCCCATTTCATAGATAAAGAGACTGAGGTTCAGAAAAGCTAAATGACTTGTCCAAAGGCAAAGTGGACAGGAAGGTGGTGCCTCCCTGGCATCTGCCGAGCTTCCTGTGCCACAGGCCACATGCTGGGTGTTTTTCACATCTCTGTGAGCATGGGTGGGTGTAGGGGGGCAGTGCGTGGACAGGCTTCTGTTGTAAGAGTGTGCGTAGGAAGCAGAGCTCTCCTCCTCGCTCCCAGATTGGGTTCTGAGGCTCAGAAGTCCAACTTCCCAGACACATCTCATCTGGGAGGGACCAGCTCCCTGCCCCCATCACCCCAGCCGCCTGGTCCAGAGCCCTGGCTCTCACGAGGCTGGGGGATTATCACCATTCTGTGTGTCTCTGGCCTGGGCAGGCATTGCTGCCTCTTTTATCCCCTCACAAAGGCCAGGCCCGCCGGGCCTGCTGTGTCAGAGTTTCTGTGGCCGGGGGAAGCCTTACTTCCTTTTCTCCCGCCAACCCAGGAGAGCCCTGCAGAGTCTGCCAGCTTGCTGGGGGGGACCACTGCTGTAGCTTCAGGACAGGTGAAAGGCACATGGGTGACTCAGCATTGGGAAGAACAGGCTGAGGGGTCACTCATGGAAAAACAAAGGAACTCCTCTTCAAATGGCAGACTATTACTGCAGCATGAGGTCTGTAGGGTAGACTTAAAGAAGGACTTCCAGTTAGGAGCTGGTCAATATTAGTCAAGAGTGGGGCTGGCTGTGATCCACAAGTTCAGTTTGAGTGTTCACCATATTCCAGCTACTGAGGTAGCTGGCTCCAGTTGTGGGGTGGGGAATTCTGTGAGACAGAAAAAACAGATTTCTTTCTCAGGGGTGCCAGGTGGGGTCCTTGTGGTGCCCAAACATTCTGGGGATCTCACAGTCTCCTGGGGAAGGAAACACATCTGGAGGTAGGATGAGAAGAATGGGGGTCCCAGAATACCCCAGAATTAAGCCTTCTCTCTCCTTCTCCACAGGCTGGCTTTCAGGGTGTTCCCTGTTGAAGTGACAAAGAGATCTCCTATGTGACACTCTGAGGTAGCTTCAAGGACCACTCTCTTTGAGGACCTCCGTGTGCTGATGAAGAACAGGGCTCTCCATGCCCTTTCTGTCCCCAACTGAGATTATGGTGGATTTGGGCTCCAGCCCAGACCTGGGCCTCCAGCTGCTGCCCCAGCCCCAGTCCCGGCCCCAGCTCCAGAGGTGTTAGCCCGAGCCCTGCCAAGACCACCCCTCCTGCCAGGGGCCTGGGGCTGGCGAGTGACTATGCGGCTTGGGCTGTGTGTAGTGGCCCTGGTTCTGAGCTGGGTGCACCTCGCTGTCGGCAGTAGTCGGGGGATCAAGGGCAAGAGGCAGAGGCGGAGTGAGTATTGGAGCGGGGCTGGACCACCAATGGCCTTGGCGTGGGAGTGGGCCACCGGGGAGTAGGGGCCTCAGGTACCTTCATCCTGTGGTGGCTGATTCCTGCTTTGTAGATTCCAAAATAGATTGTTCTCACTGTGGATTATCCACTTGGTGGATTGGCTTGTTGAGATTACTTACTCTGGAGGCTTCTCATTTTGTCTGTTTTCCCCTTCATAGACTCTGCTTCTGGATTAAGCCCTGGTTTGTGAGGATCTAGTTTGTGGATTATGCCCTTTGACTTAACCCCAGCTTTGTGTGGTATCCATGGTGATACTTGGGACGGGGTGGGCAGGGGTTACCCAGCATGCTTCTTTGCTCCTCACCTCACAGGCCGAGAAGTTCAGGGCATGCCTTGTGTGTGTGTGTGTGTGTGTGTGTGTGTGTGTGAGATGGCTGAAGTGCAGTCCCTTTGGGCAGAGGCTCTGCACATCTGGGTAGTGCCACCAAGCTTCCCTGCAGGATTGTGGACAGGAACAGTGGAGGCAGGAGGGTCAGGAGTCTCTCCCATTCTGTGGCGTTTAACGAGGCCCAGTGGGATTCAGGGAGCTGCAACAGGTGTGACAGGAGGCAAGCAGGATGGAGTCTGGCCCACCCACCTTTGGCCTTCCATGTAAGGTGTCATCAGAAGAAAGGCTTACTGAGCTTAAAAAGAAAAGCAAATCCCATCATCTTGGGATGCTAAGGGGAAATGGGTCTAAAAACACACAGTGAGTGTTGGAACCCAGCTCTTAAACACAGAGCTTGATAATGGTCAAGATCAACTGCCTGACCCCACCCCCTAGGCATTCCTTAGCCTGTCCATGGTGTCTCCTGTCCCTGTGTGTGAACGGCTCCTGCTAGGGCGTGAGGTGGGGTGGGGCCTCTGGACTCCCAAGGCCTCTGCTCTCTTTCGACATCACCCCCACAGGCAGGAAGTCTTCCTGAAGTCTCACCCAACAGCCTCTTGCTTCAGTTTTCCCTGACTGACACACATCAGGGAAGGCTGAAAGGCAATGGAGTTTTGTTGGGTCTCCACGGGAGCGGCCAAGGCCAGAACTCAGCCAGGGAGAGAAGCTCAGAAAATTGGTGAAGCTGAAAATCCCTGGCTTAACAAACAATTAGAGACGGTTAGGTTCAATCAGCAGTGAGGCCTTCATTTTCCTCGCTTCTCTTCTGTTGTGGCTAGTATTTTGGACTCCATGGGCCAGATGCTATTTAGTGGTTTATAATCAGTCTCCTCTGTTTCCGAAATGGGAGGGAGTCAGAGAGAGAGAGAAGTCAGCAATACCCACAAGTGTTTCTGCCTGTGCTCATATGTGCAGAGCAACACACCTACCTAAACCAGAGGCCATCAATTAAATTGAACTAAAATATGCAGTACTGGACTGGGTATCAGTAAGGGGCTGCTGCCAGCCATAGTCATCAAATGCAGCATTTTGATGTACCCACTTTTGATACAACCACATCCGGTGGCAGCTCAGAAACCAGTCTTTATTACCAAGTGATGTGGGTAGCAGATATCCTCAATGGTGAGAGTCAAGGTGGGGGGACTCAGGGGTACAATGACAGTCCTGGATGAACAAGAGACTCAGGGAGAAGTGAGGGTATATACTGTTAGGCAATATTTGTTAGCTAATGATCATAAAAATTACAGTCAGAAAGCTGAAATGTGGGCTGGGGGCATCGCTCAAGTGGTAGACCATTTGCCAAGTGCAAGGCCTAAGTTCAAACCCCAACATCACCAAAAAAAAAAAAACCATAAATTAATATGATACAGCTGAAATGCAATTGTGTAGGAATAAAGGCTTACATAAGCATATATATGCATATAGATTTACATATATTTACACACACACACACACACACACACACAGATATATAGTTTGTTTGCAGTACTAAGGATCAAACCCAAGGTCTCACATGTCTAGGCAAGTGCTCTGTCACCGAGTCACATCACAATCCTAGAAACATATTTAACTGTGTAAGGCATTACGTTCTTTGCAGACTTCAGGATGCAAGTCATGGCTAAACAACCACACTGTGAACTGTTTTGCCCTTGGGTTTTCAGGGAATGGGGAAGGGAAGAAGGAGGACCAAGTCACTCATGTGTGGCTGCTCTGGCCCCTCAACAGTGTGGAAGGGCTCTGGGCAGTTTGGGATTACAGAAGTGGGCTTGCTATTGAGCTGTTGAGTCTGTCTGATTTCCCTTGACCACATATCAGAAGGGCTGCCAGAAGCCACCTGATAGTATTCTGATCCTGGCTGGACATGGTTGCTCATGCCTGTAATCCTAGCTACTTGGAAGGTGGAGACAGGAGGTTCATGGTTTGAGGCTAAATAGGGCAAAAAGTTAGGAAGACCCTATCTCAAAGAACAAACTGGGGGAGTAGGGAGTAGCTCTAGTTGTAAAGCAATTACCTAGCAAGTGCAAGGCCCTGATTTCAAACCCTAGTTTCGGACCTAGAAATGTCAGCTCTTAAAGTCTGCGTGATGGTCTCCCTGCATGAAAGGGAGAAGAATTGAACAAAGAACATCTCTTTGGCCATGAACTATGAAGACCCCTGCCAAGGCCTCTTCCTCCTCCTTTTCCACTCACTAGGGACCCTTCTAAGTCCCTCTTCACTCATAAAACTCCTTCTCCCCTCTGGCCTTCTCCCCTCCTGAGCCCCTGTCCCTCACTGAGCCCTCCCCTCCCTCCCTCCCCCACCCTCAAAGAGAATCCTTCTTTCCTGAGCACTTCTAAGTGCTGCTCTCCTTTCTGGCTCCAGGGCCCCTGCTGTAAGTCCAGCCCCCATCCCACCTCCCCCCATGAAGCCCTGCATTCTTTCCCTGAGCCCTAACTTCCCCGAAGGCCAAGATCGCCCCTCCTGCCCTTCTGGTTGCCCATGACTACTGCCTGCATCTGCTCACACACTGCCCATTGAGAGTCCTCCTTCCCTCTGAATCCCTGCTCATTCCTTGTGTCATTCAGGAAATGTCCACTGAGAGCCAGCAGAACCCCATCACTGGCAGGGATGCATCTTGAGGAACCCACAGCGATGGGAGCTCCAGTGTCATGACTGCTTCAACAGTAGGAAAGGGTGACTAGGAGAGCCCAGAGAAGCTGGAGGAGACCTAGATTCTGATCAGGAGATGGGTGCAGCTAGTGGACTCAGGAGCTGATTTATACAGAGAGCTCTGGAACTCAGGGCTTACCTGGAGCAGCTGTGCTCCTGTCTGCTTCACGCTCTGTAGATCTTTCCCACTGCTGCCCAAATAGGAGGCCAGAGGCCAGAGCCCATCAGGAGGGAGCCACACAAGCTGCTGGGGCAGAGCCAAGGGCCTGGGGAGGTGATGCTGCAGACCTGGAAAGAGGTCCTGATGCTCTTTGTCCTTGCCAGGTTGAGGAGTCTGGACTTGTCCTGACATGGGTTGTAGGTGATGGGGAGCCACTGAAAGGTTTCCATTTGTGACCTGCAGGCACACAGTGCAGTTACAGAGGGCGGGGTGGGGCGTGGTGTGTGACAGGCTTCCTAAAAGGCAGTCTTGGGACTGAGAGGGTCTAACCCAGCTCACCGTTGAGTTAAAGATTCTTGGATCTGCCAGGGGCTCATCGAGCATGCAGCAGATGGTCCTGGATACCAGGAGGCCCCAGGAACAGACCCAGCTCCTGTGGACATTGCTGCCTGCCTTTCGTTGGTCTCCTTCCTGAGGCCCACTCCCTGTCTTCCTAGTCCCCAACATAGCTATGTCTCTCCTACTGAACCTAGTTCCTCCACTGCTAGACCTCACCCAACCCATGCAGGGTTCCACTCCTATTTCCAGTCCTGCTCCCCGCACTTTAGTGAACGCTCCTTGAGAGCTATGCCTCTATCATATCCTCACTCCTTCCCTGCAGGGGCTGCCTCCCAATCAGAAATAAAACTGGCTCCACCCTCCAGAGCTCTTCCTAGTAGGAGAAGATGGATGAGCAGATAATAACAATATGAGGTGATACTTGTCATGATGGATTCAAGTACAGGGTATGTGAGAACACAGAGCAATACACTATCCAGGCTTGCAGGGAAGCACGATCAGGGAAGATTGTGTGCAGAAGGTGACTTTAGTTGTAAGGCTCAGTAGGAGACTGAGCATTCTAGGCAGAGTGGCCAACTTAAGCAAAGGCACAGAGGTATGAAACAGTGTGATGTGTCCAGAGAACAAAAATAGTCAGATATTGCTTAAGGGTAGGGTTTAAGGAGGAGGTGGATGGAATTGGCTCATTAAAGCTTTTCAGGCCTGGCAAGAAGCTGTGTCTTACTTCTGTAGGTGATAGGGAGCCACTGATGGTCTTAGGCAGGGACATGACATCAGATTTTTGGTTGTAGAGAGATGAGGCAGTTGGGAGGTGGAAGATGTGAAGACCTCGGGAGCCAGAAGCCGTTTTTCAGGGAGAGGCTGGCTGAACCGCACTAGGCCAGACCCATCACTACAGCAGCAGCTTGACAGGGATTTGTACCAAATTGATGGAGGCCATAGGCAGAAGGCCACCACAGAGGCACAGCCTGCTCAGAAAGGGGGAGGGGGGACTGTGAAGCAGAGAGCTTGGGAGCAGAGGGAGTCAGGTGGGTGGGTGGGAAAGTCAAGGTGTACAAGGATGTGGATGTGAAGTCAGGAAAGAAACTCCATGCCCTCTCTGCCTTTTCTCTCACTGAGCCCATGCAGCCTCTTCAACCAGGCCTGCAGGGCTGTGTCCCCAGCTCATGGTCCCCATCATGAAAGCAACAACAGGGAACTTTCCATGCTCCTCCCTCTCACCAACGGAACAGACCCCTGCTTTCCACTTGGTGGCCACTCCAGGTCATCCAGCGCCTCAGAGCCTTTGCATAGGCTGATCCTCCTGTGTGGTGTGCCCTCTTCCCTCAGCTGACTGGCTTGGAGAGTGAGTGCCCAGGCCGCTCCTCTGCAGCTACTTCCCACATTATATAACCAGCGCTGCTTCCCTAGTGCTGGCTGGGTCTTTCTTGCTGTACCTCCATGTCCAGCCCCTCACAGTTCTGGACAACTGTTAGCTATGCAGTGAATGGGGAAAGAATGGGCTTTGATTTCCCCTTTGAGTCCTTATGCCTCCTCCAGACACCATCTTTCTTAGATCCTGCATTCAAGGCCATAGTCCCATTGTCAAGTCCTATCCCCACCTGGGTTTGAACTCAGGGCCTCAAGCTTACTAAACAGGTGCTCTACCACTTAAGCCACTTCGCCAGCCCTTTTGTGTGTTCGGTATTTTTGAGATAGGGTCTTGCTTTTGTTGCCTGGGCTGGACTCGAACCATGATACCCCACCTCTGCTTCCTGAGTAGCTAGGATTACAGAATGAGCCACCAGCACCTGTCTCTGTTCTCTGATTTTCTGACCCTTTCCTGGCTTTGCTCCCACCTCCTTCTCTTCCACTCACTCCTCAGTTCACTGTGGGTTGGCTCCCGCCCCCTCCACTGAAACTGCCCTTCTCAAGGTTACTCGATCAGTGACCATCAGCAGTCAAGTCTTGAAGATTCACTTCAGGGCTTACTGACCTTGGCCTTCTCCCAGCCCTGGTTCCTGAACAGCTCTCCCTCTCAACCTGGTTTCTTCCCCCACTCTCTGTGTCCACTCTCCCCTCTCCATGTCTCCTCCTCAGCTTCTTTCCCAATCCCCTGTTCTTCTGTTTCTCTGCCAAGTGCAGGTACCTCCTGGGCTCACCCTGACCTTCTCCTCACCCCCACAGTTTTGTCCTGGGCTGCTCATCCTCTCCCGGGATCTAACCAGAAACAGCAGCAGCCTGTCCAAATGGACCCCCACACTCTCCTTTCCCCCATAGCCAACTTCTCTCTCTCTCTTTTTTTTAAATCAGGGCCTTGCACTTGTTAGGGCAGGTGCTCTACCATTTGAGCCATATTTCAACTGTCACAACCAACTTACTTTTGTTTTGTTTTTTTGATGGTACCGGGTTCCAACTCAGGACCTCCTGCTTGTTAGGCAGCTACCTTACCACTTGAGCCACATTTCCAGCCCAACTTCTTGAAAGAGATGGCTCTCCTTCTGCCTACTACTTCCTTTCTTCGTTTTACTCCTCGGTAACTGCACACTACTCCCCACCTAAAACTGCCCCCCACATTGGGGTTTCCAACAACAGTCTGCTGCTGACTCCTTATGTGATGCCTCAGAGACATGTTAAGAGCATTTAACATGTTGACACCATCTTCTTTTTGTCCAGTGAGCTCTTCTCTTGACTTCACGATGCAGCATGCTTTTTGGTGTCCCCATCTGTCCGTTGGCTCCTCATCCACATCCTAATTGGCTCTTTTTCTGTCCTTCTAGTAACTGTCAGGTTCTCTTCCCACCCTAGATGCACTCTCCTTGACATCTCCAAGACTCATGTGCCTTTCATAGCTGTTTTCATATCTCAACCTCCAGCCAGAATGTTTCTCTTGAGTTCTAGACCCACATGTTCAACTGCCTGATTGGCTCTGTCCCCTGGGTGTCCCACAGGAAGCACATCTAAGCCTGACTGCTTATAGCCTCCCCAACCAAATCCACTTTTGCTCCTGGGATCCGTGCCTCAGCAGAGGGCAGACAGCTGCTGTGTGATGAAGTCCAGCATCTCGCGGTTACCTGGACTGTACTAGTGCTTTGCCCTGTGCCTCACCTGCAAATCCAACCATCTTCCACATGTCTGCTCTTTTCCCTTCTTCTGGTTCAGCTCCAGTTCTTCTCCCTGGAAGTGTTTTGTTTGGTTGGTTTTTGTTTTTTTGAGACAGAGTTTTCCTGTGTAAACCTGGCTGCATAGGAATTTACAATCCTAAACTGGATGAGGTGATGCACATCTGTAATTGCAGCACTTGGGAGGTTGAGGCAGGAGGATCTCAAATTTGCGGCCAGCCTGGGCTACATAGCTGGACCCGCCTCAAAACAAACAACTCCAGGTCCCCACCATACCTACTTCCCTGAGTTCTAACTTGGACATCTTTCTGAGCTCGAGTCCTGACTGGGTCTCCTGTCTTAGCCTCCCCAGTGACTCTTCATTGCTTTTAGAATAATATCTGAACACTTCTCTGCAGATTCACAACCCTTCCTTGTTTGGCCCTACTACCCTCTCCATTCCTGCCTAACTATTCACCCCACACTCCTGCCATGTTGGATTAATTTCAGAGCTAGAGTGTGGCACATTTTCTGTGCCAGTGCCAATGATAGCAGTGTAGAAAAATGCACACAGGGAACTGCTGGGTGACTGGGCAGAGGGATTCTGAGGTGGCCGTTGCAAATGTGTCTCTCATAATGGTGATACAGAAGGGACAAGTGAATATGGTAACATAGCTACGAGGGACACCTGGGTCACCTCAACCATTGAAACTAAGGCAAAAACCCAGAGGGAGCACTCATTTCTGGTGATCCATGGAGGGATTTAGTGTCTTTGAAGTGGAAGTATACCTAAAATCTACAATGACTTGTTGAATTGTAACACAGCTGAAGAAAGAGCCAAAGTAGAAAAATAATCCCAAATATGCCCTCAAAACTTTAATGTGGCACTGGAATATTTTTGCTCATGCAATAACTAGCCCAACAAGAATCATATTCATTTTTAATTTTTATTAAATTGTAATACTAATTCTATACAAATAAATTTCATATTTAAAAATCCAATCTAGCCCTACTTTCCATTTCCAAGTATTGTCCTCCTATATCTATCTCCTTTTTTTTTCTTTTTTGGTAGGACTGGGACTTGAACTCAGGGCTTCGTGCTTACAAAGCAGGTGCTCTACTGCTCAAGCCATGCCTCCAGCCCATTTTGCTCTGGTTGTTTTAGAGATGGGGGTTCTCATGAACTATTTGCTTGGGCTGGCCTTGAACCTCGATCCTCCTGATCTCAGCCTCTCAAAGAGCTAGGATTACCGGGTTTACACCTGTCTTTTGTATACTGCATTCCCTCTACCTGGAACACACAGTGACTAAGATTATCAGAGTTGAGTAATTTAACCCTGCCATTTCCTCATCTGTGAAAATGAGGAGTCCCACCAGTAACAATAATACCTACCCTATGGGTTGTTGGAAGGACAAAGTGAGTTACTTTTCAAGCACTGAGGGACTGTGCTCACTGCAGAATCTGTGCTGGGCACTTGGTAATAAGCTGTCATGATCATGATTGTGGCTGTGTTGTAACAATCCATCATTGTGTTTTTATCCTCCTCCTCCTTCTGCCTTCCTTCCTAACTCATCCTCATTTCCTGAAATCAGGAGTCAGCTGTGGGGCACCTCCTCCCAGCAACCCTCAGGATGCATATTCTGGGTGGAAAGAGCTTTGTCCAATCTTATAGACTGGGAATTTGGCTCCAGTCCCAGTGGGGTCTGCCACCTGAGCCTGAGTCCACTCTGCTGAGCATCTCCTCATGTCTCTATCTGACTTTCCCAGTTCTGTCTCCAGCCTGCATCAAAGCTTCTGAAGGCCCAAGTCCTCCCAAGTGGCTCATAACCTCTCTCTTGGTTTCTCAGCTTGACTCTGCATGTGGGATTCTTCTAGTGTCTGTTCCACAGTCCCCCCACACCCTAGGTCAGACATGGGGGAGTCACCTCAGGCTTCTCCCCATTCCTCTCTCTCAGATCTGCCTTTCTCTCCATCTCCACTAGACAGAATTTTGTTCGACTTTCTCACCTGCGAGCCAGGATGCTTGGCCCTTCCCCTCTCACCTTGAGTCCACTGCTGCCTGGATTTGCAGCTATCAGCACTTACCTGTTTGTGGTATCTGCCCCACTGAAAGCCAGCTCCTCTGCAGAGGGGCAGAACTTATTTGCCTCCCTGACCCTAGGGTTCACACTGCACATGGAACATGGGAGGGGCTTGGGAAGTATTGGTTGAACAAGTGACGGGCAACAATCAAAGCTCTGAGACTCGGTGCTGTGATAGGAGATCACAGTGCCTCTGACGACACCCATAAGCCAGGGTGTTTCGATTTGGGCACCATTGACATTTTGGACCAAATAGTTCTTTGTTGTGGAGGGCTGTTCTCTTGGAGGATGTCTAGGAGACTCCTGATCGCTACCCACTAAGTGCCCAAAAGTTCCCTAGACATTGCCAACGGTCTCCCAGGGAGTAAAATCACCCCAGGTTGAGGCCACCATTCTAGACATAGATTATTTTAGTTGTCTTCCTGTCTCTGGGTAGGGTGTCCTCTTCTTAGATAACTTAATCCATTCTTCCTCTTGTCCTTAAAACTTTATCAGAGATGAAAACCCTCCTTCCATACCTGAGGCTGAAATTTTCTTCCTCTGGGGAAAGTCAGGGTAAGTTCCAACAAGATGTAACTTTAGTCATTTTTCTGGGGATGGGGAGCAGGCCTACAGAGTGAGCTGGTGTTGCTTGGCACTAGGGAGGGATTCAGGAGTCCTGGCTCTGGAAATCCACACCAGGACTTTGGAGACAGGATCTGGGACCATGCATAAAGCAGCCTTGCTGAGAGCTGCCAGCCTGGCCTCTGCTCTGTAAAAGCACATTCCCTCCATAGAAATCCCCACCTGCTCACCTCCTATCCTATGGGAGCCTGGGAAGATGGGGTTTCCCCTACAGCAGCCTTCTCTTCCTTGCTTCAAACTGCAGTCAGTGCTGAGGGGAGCCAGGCCTGTGCCAAAGGCTGTGAGCTCTGCTCGGAGGTCAACGGCTGCCTTAAGTGCTCGCCCAAGCTGTTCATCTTGCTGGAGAGGAACGACATCCGCCAGGTGGGCGTCTGCTTGCCGTCCTGCCCACCTGGATACTTCGACGCCCGCAACCCCGACATGAACAAGTGCATCAGTGAGTGTGGCCAGGGCTGGAGAGGGACGTCAGAGGCTGTGAATCCTGGGGGAGGGTACTTTGGACTGTTGGTGGCCAGTGAGAGGTGTAGAGGTGGACACCAGAAAAGGCATTGAAGCTGTTGGTTCAGACATCTCCCCAGATGTCCTACCCACATTTCCAACTCTATGTTCAAGCCAGAATCCATCTCCTCCTGACACACCTGCATCTTCCTCTATTCTCACAGGTGTCCCAACTTGTCACTCAAGCCACAGCTCTGACAGCTGCTTGTGCTGCCCCTCCCCCATCCAATAACCAAATCCTGGCTGCTCTACCTCCTTCCATCATCACTACCATCATCTTACCTGAGCATCTCTCCCCTGGACCATTGCAATAGCCTGTCCATCTGTGCTCCAGCCCTCACATGGTTCCCTCTGTCTGCACTGCAGCCACAGAGATGTGCTTGAGTCCCCCATTCTACTCCTTCCACTTCTACCAGAAGGAAGCCCCCATCAGCTCCATGTTGGCTGCAGGGAAGTCCAAGACTGGCCAGTCATCTGCTTCTCCCCACCCCCTCCCCCAGGCCTTCCGACTCTGCTTTTCCACCCCAGCTATAGGTACATGCTGTTCTGTCTCCATCCCATCTCTGTAACTGAAGCTGTGACACAGTGGGGGACACACAATGAACACCCCTCCATTTAGTGCCTTGGAGAGTAGAACACACTACCAGATACCAGGCCATTGAGCCTCATAGCAACCTTTGGATGGACACAGGCTAAAGGGGTGGTACCCTTCTCATTGCTGGTAATTTAGAGGGGAATGATTGGCCCTCGCTGAGCCAACTGGGTTCTGATCTCAATTTGGCTAGCTACTAGCTCATCTCATGACCTTAAGCCTATCTCAGCCTCTCATCTTTAAAATGGGAGTGCTAGACATTTTTCTCTAGGGTCATTATAAGACATACCTATAAAGCTTTCAGTGTCTGGCACTCAATAAATGGTAGCTGCTATTGTTATTTTGGTTCTTATTTTATTGGCAAGCAAACCCAGGAATCAGAGCATCAGGGAGGGAAGAAGGCAAGGTGAGTGGCAAGGCTGAGGTTGAGCCACAGGAACCAGGAGGTACAGAGGATGGTGGGTGGGGAGCTTAGCAGGATGGAGATGGGACCTCGGAGCTGCCATCTTGCCCCTCAGGATGCTGGGGACTAGGTGGGTAGTTTCCTGGCTGTGGTACCTGGGAGAGTTGCAGCCTGGTCTTCAGGTGCCAGGGACTAAGAGGAAGCCAGCCCCTCCTACAGTCTTGGGGAGGGGGAGATGGGGGAAAGCCTGCCTGTTCCCAGCCAAGCCCTGTACAGCCCAGCTCCCCCAGAGGAGGGAACTGGCAGGGAGGAGGTAGGGAGGGACCCAAGAGACCAACCAACAGGGTTCTTGGAACTCAGCCTTGCACAGGGAGAGGAATTTGCCCTGGGCTTGCTCCTGCTCCTCCAAGCAGATTCTTTCTGCCCTGGGCAGGAGAACTGGGGTTGAGGTGGATGCCCAGCAATGGGGGAGGGAGCACCCACACAGCTGCTCCCTGGCGGTTGTTCTGCCTCTCAGTTCCACTCTGGTTAGGGGATCCTTGGTATACCACAAGATGCTGAAATACTTCTCTCCCACCCCCAAGCCCAGAGGGTCCCCTCCTCCTCTGAAACCAACTCTCCTGGGCCTTTGGGTTCCAGGGCCTGGGACCGGGTTCAGGTTTGGTTTAGCTGATGGGGCCAAGAGTCTCAGACAACCCCCAAAATCAGCCACTGCAGCCTCTGTCCCCTATCCTGTCCTGCCCCTTTCCCTGCTCTCCCTCCCCTCCAAAGACCCCAGTAATCACAGCTCTAGGCCAAGGTTCCAGTCTCCATATGGGTGGATATGGGTTGGTGGGCATTGGGGGATGGGGATGAGAGGTTGTGCCCACTCTGAGGCTGAGCCAGACCCCAGTCTGGTCCTGTCCTCAGAATGCAAGATTGAGCACTGCGAGGCCTGCTTCAGCCACAACTTCTGCACCAAGTGTCAGGAAGGCTTGTACTTGCACAAGGGCCGCTGCTATCCAGCCTGTCCTGAGGGCTCCACTGCGGCCAACGGCACCATGGAGTGCAGCAGTCCTGGTAAGCTCCTGGGTGCTGCAGGCAGAGGGCCCCAGGCTTTAGGCAGAGGGGCAGGTGGGGCACTGTACAGAGAAAGCTTCCCCACCACACACATCTCCTGGGATTCCTCTGAGGCCTTTACTGCTCTCTGGACTAAAGATGCACTGGCTTGAGGCCCAGGTAGAGGGCAGTTAGTCGGGTGAGGCTCCCCTGGGGGATCTAGGCAAGGAGAAGAGACCCCCTCCTTCTCTTCTTCTCTATCTTCACCTCTTCCTGTCAGCTCAATGTGAAATGAGTGAGTGGTCCCCGTGGGGTCCCTGCTCCAAGAAGAAGAAGCTCTGTGGTTTCCGGAAGGGCTCTGAGGAGCGGACGCGCAGGGTGCTCCATGCTCCCGGGGGGGACCACACTGCCTGCTCTGACACCAAGGAGACTCGGAGGTGCACAGTGCGGAGGACACCGTGTCCTGAGGGTGAGCTGCAGCCTCTGCTTCCCTGGGGTCCAGTCACCTCTGTCCTGCCCATTGCACAGGGCAAAACCAAATGAAAGTCTGCCACTCAGCCCTATGGTATCCAAACTGGCAGCCATGTCCTGGTGAGAGCAGTGCCTCCAGGACACTGTGTGGCAGATGCTAGAAGCTTCTGTGGTCACCTTCTCTGCAATTTTCCCATTTGTTCTGGATGTTCACATTAGAAGGGCCCTTCCTCAGTGACCAGATTTGGGGTGGGATGTGGAGGGGGGTGGTTAAGCAAAACCCCAGAGACATATAATTCAAACAAGGTCACACAGCCTGCAGTTGACAATGAGGTGTCTGCTGCTCCTTGCCTGGCCCTGTACGTGGCTGGTGAGGGGTAGGGGTGGGGGCTATCTGGCATATCCTATGAGCTGCACTGGGAAATGCTCTAAGGCCCTTTGGGAGCCAAGGTCTGAGGAAGATGTGAGGAGGAGGAAGTGTGTGGTGTGCATTGAGAGGTCTGGGGAGAAAAGACTCCTGGGGCCCTCTCTCAGTACTCATGTTGTAGGGTCCTCTGAAGTGGCTGCTGATCAGAGGAGCTCTTGTCTGAGTCTCCAAACCTCCCACTGCCTTCCCACCCAGCCTCCTTGCCACTCCCTCCTGGGGCCCACGGTCTCTGCTCATGGTTTGTTGATTCTTCCTACTATCGGGGTTGTTGCAGGGCAGAAGAGGAGGAAGGGAGGCCAGGGCCGGCGAGAGAATGCCAACAGGAACCTGGCCAGGAAGGAGAGCAAGGAAGCAGGCTCCGGCTCCCAGAGACGCAAGGGACAGCCACAGCCGGGGACAGCAGGGCCACTCACATCTGCAGAGCCAACCTAGGCACAGCGTCTAGCCTCCAGGTCCACGTGGAAGAACCCAGCGCTGCTCTGTGTGATGAAAGTTTTTTGGAGCTGGAGCACTGGGGATGTGTACACACACTCCATCCATCCATGCGCGTGCGCGCGCACACACACACACACACACACACACACACACACACACAAACTGAGGCCACCAGAAGACACTTTCAGCCATTGGCCCAGCAGTATACACTTGGTTTCTGATGCGTCAGAGAGAACATTTCCCAGCATTCAAACCCAAACTTTGTCAAATGGAACCTTCTGGAAGAGCTGCTGGGATTGCATCTGCCAGGTGTGGTAGAGTGGTAGATGGGAGCCAAAGCTTGAGGACTGCAGAGAAATGGCTTCCTAACCCTGTGCAGCATTCTTGGCTATGTGACTTGATGGTTGGAGAGAGTCGTTACGCATCTGTGATACGTGTCAGGGCTGACCTGACTCAGAAAACTGCTTAAAGGTTTATTTCAAATTAAAAAGAAAAAAAAAATGACAGCAGTAGTCACAGCTATGACATTCCTTTTCCGGGTATGAGAATTGGTGGGTACACATGGGAGGAAGAAGGGACAGGGCCAAATGTCAAGAGAGCCTGTTATCCTAGCTACTCAGGAGGTGAAGATGAGAAAGACCATGGTTTGAGGCCAGCCAAGGCAAAAAGTTAACAAGACCTCATTTCAATCAATAAGCCAGGCACTGGTGGCACAAGCATGGAGGCCTATCTACACAGGAGTCCTTAGTGGGAGGATTATAGTCTGAGGCAAAAAAAAAAAAAAAAAAATGGGACCCTACCTGAAAAATAAGAACAGCAAAAAAGGCCTGGGGGCGTGCCTCAGCACCTGCCTAGCAACCACAAGGCCCTGAGTTCAAAAACCTAGTACCAAACTGGCAGAGTGGCTCAAGTGGTAGAACACCTGCTTAGTAGGTATGGGGCCCTGAGTTCAAACCCCAGTACCACCACCACCAAAAAAAAAAAAAAAAAAAAAGAAGAAAAAAAAACAGTACTGCAGAGGGGCAGAGGAGGAAGAAGGAGAGGGAGACAGACAGAGAGAGAGAAAGAGACCTTAATAGCCTTAGGGACAGTAGGTCCAGAGCAAAAAGAAACCTTCAGGAATACTCTGAGGGTGGTAACTAGGTCCTGTACATTCTTGTTACCCAGAATGTGGTCTTTGGACACAGCGACATTGTCACCAGACAGCTTGTTAGGAATGAGAATCTCAGGTCCCATCTCAGACCTAATGAACCAGAGTCTGCATTTTAACAAGGTTCCAGGTGGTTGGCATGCACATCCAAGTTCAAGAAGCACTGCTCTAATAACCTCAATGGAGAAACCCAGGGGCCCAGGCCAGCTCTACAGGAGAACTTTCCATCTGGGAGGGGAAGAGTCTATACACTGAAGGGCTATGGTGACACTTCTAGGGAAAGGGAGTGCACAGGTTCTCTGATAAGGACAGTTCTGCACAAAGGGCAGTGAGTGCAACTCCTTGTGGCATTCTGGTGTCCACTGGCAGTGGTCCATGTGCCAGGCTGGATTAGGTGATTGGTTTCCAGCAGGGAGCCAGACGTGGTCTTGCTTTCATGGAACTTAGAAGTTGATGGTAGAGACAGGCATTCACCAAGTGGTCATACAAACAAGTGTGTAATTGCAAATGAGTCAAAGGCAAATTCTGGCACATACATGTAGCTATGAAAGTAAATACAAAGAAATAAAAGACAGCTGGCAGAATTGCTCAAGTGGTAGAGCGCCTACCTAGCAAGCATGAGGCCCTGAGTTCAAACCCCAGTGCTGTCAAAGAAATAAAAGGCAAAGACTATCTCAGGGAGGTGATGATATTTGAGGAGGAGGTGATCTTTGAGCCAAACTTAAATGAGTAGAAGGATTTAAGATAAAAGAATGGAGGAATTCCAGACCAGTGTGGCCAACAGAAATATGTGAGCCATAGATGTAACTTAAATTTTTCTAGTAGCCACAATTTAACCAAATATTTGTTATTTAACCAAATACATGCAGTATATTATCTTTTCATGTGTCACCAACATGAAAATTATTAAGGAAATCTTTTATATTTTTAAAAACTAAATCTTCAACATTCTGTATGTATTTTTACACTTACAGCATTAATTTGGATGTTAAATTTTCACCAGAAATATTTTATCTATTTAGACCTCATAAAAATTAAGATTGAAGTAGATTTGTATAGTCCAGTTGTTTTAAGAATATTTCTGTTTTCCAGTAGCTAAATCAAGTATTTTAAATTTAATTTAAAATTAAATAACATTAAAAATTTAGTTCTTGAGTTGCACGCTGGCTGTATTTCAAGTGTTCAATGTCACCTGTGGGTAGTAGACCTGGCTTTGAACAATACAGTCCTATATATGACAGTGCAACATATGCTAATGTCCTGTGGCAGAAAGGAGCTTGGTGTTCGAGGAACTGAAAGAAAGTCAGCATAGCTGGAAGGCATGGAGGGCAAATGAGGTAAGATGACTCCAGAAAGATCCTCCAGGGTTGGGCTTTATTCTCCAAACCCAGAGAGATGCTGAAGGTTGATAAGCAGCATGCCAACATGACAAGATTGTCTGCAGATTGGAAAGGGACTGTTCAGGAGGCTGTTACTGTCATCAGGGGAGAGAGGTTAGAGGCTCAGACAAGGGTGATGGTGGTGGAAGTGGACAAAGTCAAAGGTAGTTGGAGAATAATGTTGACAAAATTGAGTGATGCACTGATATGGAAGGGGTGAAAGGTAAAGAATCAAGGACAAAATCCTTATTTCTGGTTCAAACACCCAGACAGATGATGGTGCCACAGGCTGAGAGAGAAAGCCCAAGAGGCAGGCTGTGTGGGAGGAGAAGAAGGGACATAAATTTGGCTTTGACCATGTTGAGTTTGAAGTCTCTCTGAGACATGGTGGTGGACACAGTGAGAAGACCGTGCCTGACCTAAACACAGGTCTAGGGCACTGGCGGCAGGTGGGAGGGGAGGGCTGGAGCACACAGTGATGTAGAATTCACTGAGGATGTGGTTTGGAAGAAGGGAGCAGTGGATGATGAGAGGGTTCAGGGCCCAGCTCTGTGGCCCTCCAAATATAAAGATTGGATCATCATGGAGAATCAGTTGGTGAAAGAGTCACAGAGGGGCAGGCAGGAAGAAAATCAGGGGAACAGCAAGTCCCACAACCAGCCAGAACGAGGAAGAGACAGAGAGGACTGAAAGCCCCTAGGAGATCATGGCCTGGGAAATGGCCATGAACTCACAGCATGCCAGAGCTCTTTGGGGCTGGGGATGGAAGTGGACAATTCCTTCAGAAACTTTAGCCAAATAAAGTGGGAGAGAAATGCCACAGGGGCTAGAAAAAGACATGAGTTGAGCGAGTCTTTTTTTTTTTAAAGGTAGGAAAGTCTCAAACATGTTTCGAAGCTTCTGTGAAGGGTCCAGGGAAGAGAAAGGTCGAAGATGCAGGAGAAAGGGGTAACTTAGTAGTGGAGATTTTGCAGAGAGGCAAGGATCTGCAGAGACCAGGAGATGGTGGGTGATGCAGGTATAGGGAGGCTGGTACGTGGGGATGGTAGGTGCTACTCCACAGGTCTCATTCCCCTTCGAGGCTGGTCAGGATCAGAGTTCGTGCTAAAGCCAGGTGGTCACAGGCTGCTCACATCCAGCCATAGCCTCTCTCCTCATTCTACCTTGCCTCCTGTCCCTGACTTTCACTGTGTCCTTGCCAGTCTCTCCATCAGTCCCGCATCCCTGTTTCTGCTCTCTTTCTTTGCTCTTCTCTGTTTCTCTTCTGGGTCCCTCTTGTGATCGTTCCATCTTTCTCTGTTCCCATCATAGTCTCTGTGTCTGTCATTTCCCTTTGCCTTTTTCTCTTTGTTCTGGTTCAATCCTCAGTCCATGTATGCATTGGCTGTCTCTGGTTATCTAATTTATTCGAATCTCCCAGATCCCTAAGTGACTCCAAGTGTGGCCATGGACCAGCAACCTTGCACCTCACCTGGGAGTTTACTAAAAACATACAATCTCAGGCCCCACCCAGATGTGAAGAATCTGAACCTACCTGGTAACAAAACCCCTCTGGTAACTCATGCATGTGTTCAACCTTGGGAAGCACGGCCACAAGCTTTCTTGAATCTTAGCAACTGCCAAAAAAAGCTGGAGTCACCTGATGGCCTATATCACTTTGGGGATGCTTTGAGGCATTCAGCTTCTGTACATCACCTCCTTGAACCCCCGAAGTTCTCCTGAATCATCAGGAAACTCAGGGAAGGAGCATGTGGTGCCAGGATGTCCTGAGTCAGCTGATGAACAATCCACACCTCAGTTTCCACATCTGCAGAATTACCGGCCAGAGGACATTCTGACCCTGGGACCCTGGGAGCTTCCAGATGTGATCCCACACTCCCATGCATCCCTGAATACAATTAGCCCCTGGACCTACTCTTGCCTGTCTCACTCTGTCCTTGTTTTCCAACTGGAGGGTGGCGCGGGTCTCAAAATGTGGGGCAGATACCTAGAAGCATCCCGGCCCTAGAAGCATCCCACCTGAGGCAGAGACCACAGTGCTAAAAGCAGTCAGAGTTGGTTCAGAAATTGCACTTAATGCTTTTTTGGGATGAGTGAGTGCTGGAGAAACCGAGTCTATCTATGTGCAGAGGTAGGGTTGTCTGCCCTGTTCCCGGGTTCATGCAACAACAACATGTGATTGTGTTTGGTTGCTATTTGCCCACATAATTATTTGGAAAATGTTAGCTTTTCCCTCTACAGGGTCACAGATTTGCCCAGACTAACACATTTCTGGCCACCTTACCCAGTCTGGTATGTTTCAGACTGAGTCTCCAGAGCATAGGTTTGTTTTCCATTTCATTCTTTGGGGTGATGAGGTTGTGTTTTCTGGAATAGTTTTGTTAAGTGGGGATTTCCCCCTCTCTGGTTTGTTTGGCTTGGTTTAAGACTGAGAGGGAATTTAGGGAAAGGGTCAACTTCTTGGGCTC